TTTTTTTTTTTTTTTTTTTTTTTCATCATAGTCTCAATGTTACTCACTAATAGTTAAAAAGACTAATAAAATAACATCTTTGTTAGTAATGTAATGACACATTATTTTATACACTTTTTTTATTTTAGTCTCAAAATATAACTTTTTAAAAAAAAATTCTAAATACACTTCATTTTAATTCGTTTTAGAGTTTATTTGAATAAATTAATCCAAATAAGAATAAAACAAACTTCTTCATAAAATAAGACTAACTTATATTTGAGTTAAAAATAAGATTTGTAAAAGGTTAATAAAAAAGAACTTCAATAATATAATTTATACATAAACTAATTTTAATTTATGATAAATTATTTAATTTTTCAATCTTATTTTACTATCTTGTGAAGAATAAATCCTTAGTCTATCACTCATTCACTCTTTAAGTTTCCCTTCTCTTCTCACTTTTTCAATTACCATGATGGTCACCGAGTTTCTCTTCAACACTCGAGCCAACTTAAAAGTCATATTGCATGAGCATGACTAGCTAAGTGATGCACAAATTTGTTGAAGCAAAGGTGGATGCCTAATTCAATAGAGACATTACACCAAAGAAATCTTCATCAACAAAGACTCCATGGAAACGTTGCACCAAAGGGGACAAAAGGGCTTCTTATAGTGTTTACATTTGCAGAGTGGTGATTTGAGATTTAAGGTTAGATGTTCTCTTTGAGGGTTTGGTTAATACGCGGGACCAACGATCTATATAACTTCAAATCAATAAGAATAAAAAAATATATGCACATAGTGGAAAGATATTTTATAATATATTGCATGTTTATGTTAACTTTATAATAACTATTTTAAAAGTTATATACAAACTTATGTGATGTTAAAAATACTTTTCATTAATTGTTAATGTGAAAAAATTATGTTAATCATGCATGTCAATTAAAATCAAATAATACTCGGAGGATAAATCCAAACACATAACATTTTACTGTTTGATGCAATAGAAATTGTTAGAAAGTCAATATCATGTGTTTTGCACATAATCCAAAACAAGAGCTGCTATTTGGAAAAGAAAACGCTGATTTCCTATAAATACTTTCCTCATCAGTAATCTCTATCTATATCAATAAAGATGGTAAATATATAATTCATAACAATGACAACGTAAAAGAAAAATTGTGAGACAGTTTTATTATAAATTAAAGATGGTTGGATATAGTGTTGGAGAAGGGGAACCACATGCAGTTGCTTTACGTAAATGGCGTAATAAAGAAAATTAGTTTAGCCAACTTTTGTTTTGTATGGTGAGAAACTGACTAGCAACCAATACACTTTTCTTATCTTGTGCTTGTGGCAAACAAAAACTCATCATATATTATTTAATTAGGTCTTGAAAGAGATATCAACTACTCTATATTTTTTCACTCCTAAACATCTATATTAAGCTTTCTTAAGTCATATATATGGCTTGGCTGAAAACACACACACACACACTCAAGAATCTATTTTGTCTTCTTCTTTTTCTGTTGTTTTCTCAATCTTTTTGCTGATCGAGGATTTTAAAAGTGACGAGACGAGAGTATCATCAGTTTAATTCATTCCTCACAATTCATTTTCCTTATCTATCTCTTTTTGTTTTATATCAAATTAAATTGTTTAAAATTCAACCTTTCCCTGCTCTTATTTTTAATAAGTATGTACATTATTCATATATGTCTCTCGGCGAAAGTTTTAATTTGATTAATATTTTGAATTCGTTCATACTCCAATTGATGATTAAAGTATACAAGTAATGTATAAGGAAGTTGTTTAAATTTTATAAGGAAAAATAAATAAATTTAAGTAAGGCTTCATGATATATATTACAAAATAAATACATATATTACATATTTTCATAAAGATATAATTATATTATTAAAAAATGATTTAAGTTAAAGAATATACTTTATCGATTTTAAAAAAAAAATTTAAATTAGCAATTATATATTAAAATTGATCATATGTTAATTTGAACAAAAATAAACATCACGTATCTTGATTTAAAGAATTTATTTATAATGAC